CCTGAACCCTGAACCCTAAACCGCAACCCTCAGCTCCATAGGCTTCTGTCGCGAAGGGGCTTCGGGGTTTCGGGCGTTGTGGCCTAGAGGCATGAGGGTTTGGGGTTTAGGGTTTAGGGTTTAGGGTTTATTTTACAGGAGGAAGTTCGAAAGGTAGAGGTGTCTGAGATGTAGAGGGTCAGGCCTCGTGGGACAAGGCCCTAAACCCTACGCCTACAAAGCCCCAAATCCCTACACCCTGAGCCCCCAAACCTTCCAAAACGCCCAAACCCCGAAACCAGTAAACCCCTGAACCCCTAAACCCTAAAGAAGCAGTCAAGGCTGCCATCTCCATCCACGAAGCGCTGCACTGGCCTGTAACTGGGCGCTGAATGCTCATCCGGGAGCTTTTGGACCTTCTGAGCGTAGACCTAAACCCTAAACCCTTTTCCTTTAGGGGGCTTGGGCTTTAGACTTCAGGGATGTACAGGTTTCGGGGCGGCTTGGGGTTTCGGGTTCAGGGATATTCCGATTTCAGGGCGGGCTTAGGGTTTAGGCTCTGGGATTTAACGGGTTTAGTGTGAAGGCTCTCGTTTGCTTTTGAAGACATCTGCTCATCCGCCTCCTCTGAAGCACAGGTACGATGAAATGTAGGGGCCTGAATAATTAGAATAGGGTTTGGGGGCATTATGGTATATTAAACGAGTTCGATGTTTCAAGAACTGAAAACAGAGCCTTCACCTTGGGTTTGTGGAGTAGTAGGTACTTTCTTCTATAGCCATAATTCATAAAGGAACGACGACCCTAAAACCTAAACCCTAACCCTAAACCCCTAAACCCTAAACCCCTAAACCCTAAACCCAATACATTCATAGTCCACGCCAGGACAAAGACCAACTCCCCTGCAATCCCACAGACTGCGAAATCCTTCAAACTGCGGAAAGTGCCTTAGATGGTCGCCGGATGTCTTTTTCGGAAGCCCATACTTAAGGAATAAAGGGCGTCTGGGTTTAGGGTTTAGCGTTTAGGGTCTAGTGGGGTTTCTTGACGAAGGCAATGCCGAGGATTGGCGCCGCCTTCGCTTCAAGCGCTGGAGCGTTGGCAAGTCCCAGGCGCTGCAACGGCGGGCATTTGCGGAAGGTCCGTGCCTCAGGGCTAGGGTATTGGAGTTTGGGCCAAAGAGTTAACCCTAAACCCTAAGCCCTAAGTCTTACTTTGCACATGGTCAACGGTCACATGATTCAAACGGAGTGACACCTAAACGCCTAGGGATAATATAGTGGCCTAAATAATTACCAATACTATTTTGGCGGGGTTCTTCATTATAGTAGAATATACCCCAAAACCCTATTCCAATGATTCAGGCCCCTATATTAGGCTTAGGACTTCGGCCCCATGCCCAACACCTGAAGCCCATGCTATCCTTTACCTCGACCATGCTGAGTTTGTGCGTCTGCTTTTCGGAGCCCAAGGTGTTAAACAAAAAACAAACAAACGACAGCTCTGTAGATAGCCCGAACCCCCCACCGGAAAATGCCGGAAACCATTATGAGCCTGAGGTTCTACAGTTCCACGCTGTCTGCGAGAGAGTGAATTCTGATTGGAAGCCGCAAGCAGATTCAGAAAGCTCTGACCCCCTGAACCGCAGACCGCGACAGGCCCTAAAGCCCTTAAATCTAGGGGTCGGAACTCTAATGTAGGGGCCTTAATAATTACCTAAAATATTGTGGGATTCCTTATGAGAATTATAGTATAACGGGCCCCAAAACCCTATTCTAATTATTAAGGCTCCTACAATACTTCCCCTTGTGGTCGCTGTTCGCAACCATATCCAATGTTCTTCTGAGCTCAAAGATAGCAAGCTGCTGAAGCTCCGGTTGCAGATGGACGCACGCCTGCATGACATGAAGCACCCTGGACCCTGGGAAGATTGGCAGGTTCCTGTAAAAATGGAGCATGTCCCCCAAACCCACAAAAGGAACGCATGCAGAATCCCACAAAGCCCAAAAAACAACTTGAAAAGCCGTATAAGGCCTACAAAAACGCACTTCTCTTCCCGTTCGCAACCCAGGCTTCTGATAGAGAATGCAGGGTCCTCAAGCCCTAAGCCCTCAGCCCTTATGAACAGTAGCCCTAAACCCTAAACCTTAAAATCCTAAACCCTAAACCCTAACCCCTGGACTCTACACCCTAAACCCTAAGCCCTAAACCGTAGCCCCTGAACTCTAAACCCTAAAACCCTAAACCCTAACGCCTGAACTCTACACCCTAAACCCTAAACCAAAAACCGTAGCAAGCCTCTGGCGCCCCAGGCTTAAGCCTGCAGCAGGGCATCAAGGAGACGGCGACCTTAGGATTCAGGTGATTTTATTGCGGTTTTTTGTTTAGGGGTTTAGGAGATTTGGGGGTTCGGGGTTTAGGGCTTTAGAGTCTAGGAGCTGAGGTGATTTAGGGCTTCGGGTCTCTGTTGCCGTCATTTTTAGGGTGTTATTGGTTTAGGGGTGAGGGTTTGGGACTGTTGTTGTCTTCCGGTTTAGGATTTCGGGGTTTTGGGACCCAAGATCTAGAGGGTTGTTGGTCTTGATTCTTGGGTTTAGGGATTTTTTGCGGTCAGAGCTTCTCAACTACTCGCACCATGTAGGGGCACAAATCGATATCAACATTTATTCCTTAGTGGTTCCTCATTATGATTATTATACTACAATATAGCACAAAACGCTATTCTAATCATATTAAGGCCCCTATAGTAAGCATATCAGTTCCGTAGCCGCAGACCGTCCTCCTACAAGCCCGAAAAAGCCCAAAGCCCGAATCGGAACCCGCCGTAGCTTCCTGCAAGATCCATGTCACTAACCGTGTAAAGATGGAACCAAACTCCATGAATGAAGCCATCCCACGGCCTATAGACACTAAATCTTAAGAACCTGAAGACCCTAAACGCAAAATCCTGAGAACCTGAACACACTCTTTTGTGCTTGGCGAAGGAGTTCCTGATCAAGCCCATCCGCGAGGCCTGCGAGATGAAACGCGCCTTCTTTCTTGGCAAGGCCAGGATTGGCGGAGAGAAGTCGACATCCCTTAACCCTACCGCTAGAACAAACTGGAAAAGGTGTCCTTGGAAAGATAAACGTAAAAGAAACGCACGAACGTCACTTCCAGGCATCCGGTTGTTCACGCCTGGTCGCGTTGAAAGGTTTAGGGTGCGGGATGTCAAAGTATTCAAGGACTTAGGAAAGCACTTGTTGAATCGTGTGGTAGAAGTTGTTGGTTCTACTTGTTCCGCTTGAAGCACCGGGGTGAGGGTGGGACTCTAATCCTCATTATTCTTGGCATTGGGTCCCAGGGGATGGGCCCTAAACCCTAAACCCTCTACCCAAAACCCTAAACCCTAAACCCAGGGGAAGGGCCCTAAACCCTAAACCCTCTACCCAAACCCTAAAGGTGGGACTCTGACCGTCATTTTTCTGATTTTGAGGTCACTTCCCGGTTCGTCGACAACTTCTGGGCCTCTGCGCCCAACGACGTTGCTAGGCTGCACTTCAAGACCCTCTAAACGCCCCCTCTGAGGTGCCCAAAGAACTGGGATCCACAGAAAAGGACCTTAGGGCTTGTGGCCATAAAGTCCCCATGAGGCTTTGGGGTTTAGGGTTTTTTAAGGTTTTGAACTCCATGGTGAGGGCACCGTCGAGATTGCTTGGCTTCGAGACCGCAAGCAATCTGGCTCCGGAAAGCTTCGCACCAGCTGCAGGAACAGCGACGAAGTGCAAGCACCGTGCAAACCCTAAACCCTAAGTCCTAAAACCCTAAACCCTAAACCCATGGTCATTGATCAACATCACCGCATCATTATCATCAACACTATCACAGGACCTATGGCACACTGCATGTAATCAGAGTTGGTGATCTCAGCAGCGATTAAAGGCGCTTGAAGTCCGGCCCGATGCTGCGCATCCCAGAGCCGGGTTCTTCTTGTTCTTATTGTCATGTGGGTGTTTCCGAAAAGGGGGGACCCTAATAGAGTACCCTTTAGGGTTTAGGGTTTAGGGTTTAGGGTAAATAATAGGATCCTTATAAGGACCTCAAAAGAAGGTACCCCTAATTTTCGGAAACTCCATGTCTTGTCTGTCGTTCACTGGACGCGAAGCCGAGGATGTGCACCCGCCTGCCGCGCCCTTACGTGCTTACCGCTTTACTTCCGCCGGCGGCCGCGCTGCAGAGGCACATTTCGCCTTTAGGGCAGCCGGGTAGGCAGCTGCTGTGTTGGGAGAAGCGGAGTCTTGTTGCAGGCTCGGTATAGCATGGCCAGGCAGATTGGGCTAGGCAGTCACCTGTAAAACAAAGTCGAGTGCAAGCTTCATGTACGTCAATGATGTCGGCACCTAAAGTAAAGGTATCCATAAGATGACAAGACATCGATGGTATGAGGTTCCCAAAGAGCATGTCGCCTCACTTCGCTGGGCACCATTCTCAAAGCACGTGGTTTGATCAAGTCCGAATGCCCTACAAACCCTCAACCCCAACCCTGAAAACCCTTGAATCCGAAACCCATAAAGCGCTAAAATCCACCCTAAACCCTGATCCCCAAAACGCCTGAAACCCTGGTTTTTTTTTTTGGGGGGGGAGGGGGGGGTGGGTTGATGAGCCCTAAGGAGCACTATGCGGTAGTTGTTCCGACGCTTGAACGCCCAAATCCCAAAGCCCTAAACCCTCAACCACTAAAGCCCTAAACCCTCAACTGCTAGATCCCACAGCCGCAGTACCCCCAAGCAGGTGGTCGATGGTCTTCCGCGCGGCTGCATCTTCAAAGTGGGTTTCCATCCCAGCGACCCGAACCCTTATAGCGGCTCGGTGGAGATTATTAGTTCTCCAATACCCAACCTTTAAACTTTTTGGGTTCTTATAACTTAGTAGTAATCTGAAAGTTTAAGCTTTTATTTCCCTGGCTTGCTGGGGAAGTAAGTCTTGCAAAGATAGTAAGGCCAACACTGAACATGCCAATAGTTGTAACAACAAACGAGAGCCTTCAATTCTTCAGTTGTACTGTAGTAAGAAGGACAGTAGTGGCTAATCCCTTCCCCTTTTATTAAGCAACCTCCTAATCCTAAGAGCACTTTCCGGAAAAAACCCACCCCGAAATCATCCCGCGCCCGTCAAAACCTATTTCGAACCGGAGAATAGAGATAAAAATATCCCTTATGTCGTCTGAACTGGGAGTTAGGGGGGGGCGTTCAATATTAGGGGGAAGGAATTATAGCAATGGTCGTGAGAGCGATATAGGTGGACTGGACCCGGGTTGGTTGAGATTAAACAAGCAGCGCGCAGGGCACTGTATGATGTCTGAGCTCGAAGGGAAGACTCTTAGCACGAACCTTGGTGCCCAAGGACCTTACACCCAAAACCCAGGATGCTCAACATACAGCGAACGCTGCAAGGTCAGAAGGTGATTGTTATGGACGAAGGCCACCATCTCACCCGTCCGAACAAGATGCTCCTCTGAAGTGGCAGTCTTTCTGTCATAAACATGATGAGGGCTTAGTCCAATTTAGGGGCCTTAATAAATTATACAAATAAGTGCAATCAGGAACCCCCAAAATAGCATTGGTAATTGGTAAGGCCCCTATATTAGTCTTCTGAACCTCCCTGGAGGACATTATGATTTGTTGTAAGGGCTTGGCCGTGTTGGTTTCCTATCTTATCTGGTCAAGAGCGTACTGATCCGCGCACGACTAAACAACTGCAAGTCACTACTGTCGGGGCTCCGATGTAGCTGAGGATCTATGAGCAGCAGCTGAACCAGTTGCGCGAGTACGTCCAGAAGGCGAAGGGCCCTTCCTCAGCACTCTGTGTTAGCCGTATTAGCTGGGTCTTTGTGTTCCATAAGAGTCCTGTGGACCACAGTTGCGATTCAACTTCTGAGCATCATACCGCAACTGCAACCTCAAAACCCGAGCGACGCGACAACATGCTACCACGTGCCAGTATGTAGAGCTGAACCCTTCTCTTGAGTTGCTAAGAAAGGAGAGGAAGGCGCAGGGCATACACAACCGGATTCATAGCCTTGTCGTTGCTTTAGGGCCGTCGTTGTCCAGGCTTTATGGGTGCTCCTTTCGCTACTTCTGTTCCCCTCAGGCCGACAGCTTCATCCTCGAGCCGTGCAAAGCCTCCCCAACACTCCTAAAGCCCCGAATCCTGAACCCCTAAACCCTTAAACCCTACACCTCTAAGCCCTACTCCCCAAAACCTTGGGTTTTATGAACCCTCCAGCCCTTTTGAGGCTGCGCCTTAAACCACTAAGCCAAGCCCAAAACCCGCAACCCCTCAATCCCCAAAACCCGAAATCCCTAACACCCTCAACTCTTAACCCTAACCCCTGGGATATTACCCGGGTTCCTGTCAGAGTAGGAACCCTAAACCCTAAACCCTAAACCCTAAACCCCCCAAACCTACAGCCTTCTAAGGCTCCGTCTTCGTCAGCTGCACTGGGTCCATGGAGGCCGATGCTGCAACGGACCCGAGGATGCTACTGGACGTCGTGAGCCTTGTCTCAGGTTTGAGGATTTAGGGGTTGTGGGTACCATAAGGGTGCTATAGCTATAAGGGGTTGAGAGGTTTAGAGGTTTAGGGTTTGGGGAATTTGAAGTTTGGGGTTGTGAGCCCTGGCTCGGTTCAGGGGTTTATGTAGCTTCCGGGACGCCGTTAACTTTACCGGTACCTTTAAGGGTTAAGGGTTCCGCTGAGGGTTTCTTCCATGGGGTTCGAGGTGTTGGGGCTGTAAGGCTGTTGGGGGGATTTTAGAGTTAGGTTACTGGTGGTTTTGGGGTGTCTTTGTGTCTCATGGGCCTTAGGGTGGGAGTCAGCTTGCCCGCCTAGAAAGAGAGTATGTGCAACCATGGGTTCTTGCTTTTCACTGCCGTTTGCATCCATTCTGTTCAGTCTTCCTGGTTTGTTGATTCAGGCATCTTCGGTCAGCATGTATTCATGTATTACATGGTAGGCAACAAAAAAGGCTGTAGACTCTTTCAATATGCAAACACACGTACAGACGCATGTCACCGGAAGACGGCTGCGAGTGTAAACAGCATCGTCATCCTGGCGCCGAAGATTTTAAAAGATGTTTGTCGAGACGACTCATAAAGACATGCAACATCTTGTCAGGCACGTTGAGCAGCATGCTGCCTGAGACAGGTACAATAGCAGCAATCGTTAGCTAACATATCAGGAAGAGCTGCCGCCTAAACCCTAAAGCCTAAACCCTGAAACCAGTAATCCGAGCAGGAAAGGAGACTGCAACAAGCACGCGAGCGATGAGGGCTTCCTGTCTTCCCACCACAAGCGTGGGCAATCCTTTCCTCGACAAAACCCTGCACCATGTGCTACCTCGTCTGCACACAGAGCTTTTGATTGCTAGCTGCGTGGTCTGTCGGCGCTTACTAGTCTTGTATGGTGTGTTATAGTTATAGTATAGTAATGTATAGTATAGTGCATTAATATATTATAGTGTAGTGCAGTACTTTGTGTTGCAGTGTTTATGCCGCCACACGAAGGCAGATGGTATCTACTCCAAGGAGGTGCAAAAGAATGTGGTGACCAAGGTTGAGCTTTCCGGACTCTCATTGGTCCGGCAACTTTTCACGAAGTTGGAGAAAGACAGAGACAGAGAGAAAGAGAGAGACAGAGAGAGAGTTTGCTTTGCCTCCACGGGGGCACCCGCACAGCGCGTCGCTTTCACACAAACACTCCGCTGCACAGCTGAGCCCCTCTACCAAAAATGGTGGAGAGGGGAGCGCCCCGGCGCGGGCCAGGCGTAGAACCCTGGCCTTGACCCCTAAGCAAAGCAAAGCAAAGAGAGTGAGCAGGGTTATCAGTCTCACGAGGCCGAAACCCACTCGCACCGGAGTATGATCTAGCAGCCTCTGACAACTTGCCACAAGCATCTTTCTTCAAGCTGTCAGACTTCAGATTTCCATGTTGAACAACTGAGCAACTGCGGCCAGACCTGCCCCATCACTCAGGCATGTTAGCAGTATATAGAGCCTTTACATAACATGGTTTCTACGTGTGCATGAGTGTACGGCTATATGTGCTTGTCTGTGTGTGTGAGTGTGTGTGCGCGTATGCACTCATATGCATGTATGTGACGGATGGACGCGAACGCGAAGCCCTACTTCACAGCTTGCACTGATTCTGAGAGTCCGTGGCCAAGGTATGTCTATCAGGCCATCCGCCTCGAGAAGGAAGGAAAGCCGGAGGACTTCGAGAATGTGAGTCTCACATCGGGCGGTTTAAACTTTTCGAACTTGCGACTCTGAGTACTAGAATTCAGTATTCCTGAGGGTTAACCCTCATGGGCTCCTAGAGAAAAGGTCCCCAAAGGCCTAGTTTAACCATATCTACCCACTCCTATACCCCGGTATTTTGCTTCGCGAACGCTCCATTTTGCAAACAACCTCGAAGACCCCCCCTTCAAGAACGTCGGGAAATCCTGCACTACCTTGAATGATCTTGGGGTTGGGGGCTTAGGGACTTGCAGTACACACAAGTACATTAGATTCAGGGTTTCGGGCCTGGGGGTCTTCCTACCATGGGACAATGCAGTTTAGGGTTTAGGGTTTAGGGTTTAGCCTAAACCCTAAACCCCAAAACCCCATCTGGGCTTTGGAGCGCATGCGACGAAA